CTGTTGCAAATTTGTTGTTTGGTTGGAGTAGATAAAGGAAATCCATCCTCTTGTGTGTCTGTAGTAAGAAGAGGGAGGGGTACTTTAATAGCTTTTTCAGAGAACAGAGGATATTCTGCTTCGATACTGTGCCATAAGTCAACAATTGGTAATTTCTTCAAGAATACTTGAGATATGGAACCTGTACTCATATTAGTGCAGATTTTGTTCTCCCTTACATTGAAATCCATTGGTCTTCCTTGCACTTAGAATGGATATTTTACTGTTTGGGGTATAATTATTTAAAAAAATTTTTTTAATATTTTTATTTGTTTTTGAGACAGAGACAGAGTATGAGCAGGGAAGGGGCAGAGAGAGAGCGAGGCACAGAATCCGAAGCAGGCGCCAGGCTCTGAGCCTGACGCAGGGCTCGAACTCACAGAGGGCGAGATCATGACCTGAGCCGAAGTCAGACGCTTAACTGACTGAGCCACCCAGGCGCCCCTGGGGTATAATTATTAAAGAGACTACAAACGCAATATAGTTAAGCCTCTTCCTTTTTCATTCAGGAAATTCCCAAGATTCCTTGGGGAAATATGAGGTGTTTCTGGATATTGTTAATCCAGATTGAACAGGATGTGAAAGGGGAATCTGAACTTGTGCACACATGCTATACCATAATTAGCCACTGGGTTTTGTTGCTGTTTCTATCTAAAACAGACACCCAAACATATTCTTGGTATGAGGAACTTTTCCAGCCATTGTCTTGTATAACCTCTGATTTAAAATTAAATCATCAGACTTGTTTTAACTGTCTTTTCTTTTTCTTTTTCTTTTTTTTGTTGATGTGAAACATTCATAAACTGAAATTAAGTTAGTATTGGTGCCAGGTTGGTTGAAAAATACAAAGGGTGTTAACTTCTCAGCTTCAGGGCACAAGGTAATTGGGTGAGGGAGAGGTTAGAAAAAGATGCTTCTCTTTTACAACGTAACATAACACTCCAGGATCAGCTAGGAGCATTAATGTTAGTTTGCAGGAGTTTTAAATAGAACCAGTAGCAAAACATTACATGATTTAAAAAATACAGCTACAGTCAAACTATATTGCACTTAGATTTGTTTTCTTGCTTTTGGGATGTTAATCCTATGGGATTAAGCTGTCAAATATTGCTGTTTTACATTTTAAGCTTTATAGCCTGAGAGCCCCAAAATAGTAAATATGCATAGAAAAAAAAGACTAGAAAAAATATACAAGGATATTGATAGCAGTTACCTCTAGGTGTTGGGATTATGGGTCATTTTTTGTTTCTTCCTTGTCCTTTTAAAATATTCATTACAACAGATATATATTGAACATTATGTTTCATGTATTATATTGAATGATGGGCTTAGAACAGAGAACAAAAAAGCTGATTCGCCCCTTGCTGAGTTAGATCTTCTAATAGGTCAACTTTTATGTTTCCCATAATAAATGTAAAATATTTCTGTAATGAGATAGATATGGTAAATATTATAAACCAAAATGAATTGAAAAAGAATTCACTGGCTCATTCTCTGTGTTTTTCTTTTGGATGGTGGAGAGGGTTGTGGGTTTTGGTTGCTTTCCCTAAAAGTACAGTTTGGAGACTTGTGTCATGATTCAGGTATCCTAAATATCACCTATGAAGTATCTACAGTGGGCTTGACTCTGAACGAATGGGCACCTTAATGTTAGAAAGAGGAAGGAACAGACGTTTCCTGGGCTGTGTTTTCTAGCCATACTTTTGCGCTCCATCTCAGCCATTCCTAGGAGCCGTGATGGATACAGCATGTAGCATGCTGGATGTAGCACCTGAATGGACCTAACGTTATTTTGCTGCTAGTTAGGGTTACTTAAGAGGCAGATCAAAGCTGAATGAGCCATGGTAGAGCTTGAAAATTGGCTTGTGTCTGTGGTCTGAACAGCTTGGAAAGTGCACATCTTCCGTTCAGGCCTCATACAGAAACATCTGGAAATAAACTTGAAACTTGATGATGGAAGAAAACTCCTTTCCAAAAGGACTCATTTCTTTTATGTGAATATTTCTTTTTTTTTTTTTTTTT